CCCCCCACGTGAAACCGTGTAGCATGAACCATATTTTAGTGTACGCCATTGGAACACATCACAGTGCTTGATTTTTTTTTCTTTTTAAAATAACAAATTCAACTGTGTGGCAGTGCAAGGAAAAGCATTGCGACGCATTGCCATGCGTTGTAATTAAATGTATGCCTTCATCCTTTTATCACGACACACACCAACAGCGCACAAATGGCACTCCAAATCAGGCGTTGCCACATCTTTTTAACACAAGTTGCCTATTTACAGTTTTGCTTAATTTTTTTACCATTTCGCAAAAAACGCAATTTAAAATGTACAAATATTTGCTATTGATTAACTCAGTACAGTTTTATCCTTTAGATTTAGTCAGAAAAGTGTTTATGTGCACCGATATTGATTTTAGTGTGCTTTTATCAATTTAATTGTACATATTTTATCAGTTTAATAGTGATTTGATAAACATTTGCACAAATACTGCAGGACCTACAAAATTAGTAGCACCATCTTTTTATTCTACGGGTCCTGTGCTTTCAGGAAATGTATGGTTTGTGGGGGTCTTTTACAAACTCTAAAAGCAGCAGTTGTAAATAACAAAAAGGTGAAAAATTGCAAAAATGGTCTAGCCAGCTGAGGTGAAAAGTGAAACGCAGGGCTTGGCAGCAAAAGGAATTTGAAAAATAAAAAAGACTTACTGGCTGGATCACTGGGTAAAAGGAAAAAAATAAAAAAAACCTAATGCAGGGACCACATTTAAGGACTGTATAATAGTATCCACATTGCTATAGCTAAATAAGTAAATAAATAACCTTTTTGTATATAACTATAATGAGGGGGATTTATCAAAACTGGAGCAGACAAAATCTGGAGCAGCTGTGCACGGCAACTAATCAGCTTCTCTGTTTCATGTTCAAATCTTAACTGAACAAACTGAAGAGAGAAGCTGTTTGGTTGCTATGGGTAACTGCTCCAGTTTTGATAAAATCCCTCCAATGTGTTAGTGACTTCCAAACATATAAATTTACACCTTGACTGTGTTCTATAAAAACATAAATTGTATATATAAATCCCCAGTCCACCAAGAAATAATATACAGTTCATACACGGTAAGTAGTGCAATTACACTTCGTACACACACACAATGTACAACTTCTTTCCAATCTGTGTATTGTTATTACTTGTGTAGTCTTGTCTGTGATCCCTCCACCCATCTGCACTCACCAGATTGCATGTGACCTTGTATTGTTTATTCTAAGGTCAGACAGCGCTTCTGTGCAGTGGTGGTTGCCAGTGCGTTAAAAAAACATAGCTGATCAGCGATAATATTCAGGAACTTCTATCAAATATTGAGAGCCAATCCTCTTAACCTCCTTTCCGAGTCTACTTCCTCAATGTTCCAACATATAAAACACAGAGGAGGCTCATCAGGAAAAAACAAAAATAGACAATTAAAACCAAATGCACTTACATCATGCTCAAAGCACACATACATACATAACTGAAATTCATTCCTGTCTAAATGCACTTACATCACGCTCAAAGCACACATACATAACCAACATTCATTCCTCTCTAAATGCACTTACATCATGCTCAAAGCACACATACATACATAACTGAAATTCATTCCTGTCTAAATGCACTTACATCACGCTCAAAGCACACATACATAACCAACATTCATTCCTCTCTAAATGCACTTACATCATGCTCAAAGCACACATACATACATAACTGAAATTCATTCCTGTCTAAATGCACTTACATCACGCTCAAAGCACACATACATAACCAACATTCATTCCTCTCTAAATGCACTTACATCACGCTCGAAGCACACATACACAACCGAAATTCATTCCACTCCAGTGGATAGTTTCAGGGTAGTGCAGGGCATCAACCGGCTTCACTTTAGACCTGGGTCACATCTAGGTGTTTTTGAGCAGTTGGAAAAAGCTAATTTAAATGCCCAAAACAAGAAAATCGCATGATTTTCAATGGGCAATGTTCACACCTGAGCAGAAGGAAAACGTCAAACGTCCGCAAAGGTACATGAGCTTCTTTGGGCAGTTAGCGCGTTTTAGCCTCATAGACATCAATGGAAATGCCCAAAAACTCGCGACAGAAGCATGTTGCACATTTTTGTGTGCGTTTTTGGGCGTTTATATGCGCCCGCAATGTTTCAGAACCTGCCAGTCAAAATGCGCATTTTCGCGTACAAATGTGCAAATAACTGCATGCAGAACACGTGCGTACAAACGCTAAAAAACTATGCCGCCTAGGTGTGAACCTGGCCTTAAGAACATTTTACACATTTTGTTTGCTTTTAACAAAGATTTTTGCTGTTGGGTTTAGATTAGGTGTGACATGTGTTCTGGTGCACTGCGGAATTAAATGCTGCATTTTTTCAGAGCTCACTGGACCACACTGCAGGTCACTGCCCCACAGCAGGACCTGAATGGGGTATACACTTTGTTCACTCCAAATAAAGTAAAACAAAAAAAGAAGTGAACAGTGTGATGCGTGTCCACCAGAGCAGTCAGAAAACACTAGCCCATCCACTCAACAGAGCTTTTTAGATTGCAAGCTAGTGTGAACTGGCCCTAAAGCACGTCAAATGTTATCTCATGGACATCACTCTTCATTAATCACTGATAATAATTTTTATGTAACTGGAACATTATGTTACATGTATGCCATCTTTTTTTTTTTTTAGTCTTAACCGTTCTACTTTAGTTATGAACTTTAGCAAATGTTTCATCCCCATCTTGCTCGTGCAAGATTTACCGTTTCGATGATGTCATTGGTCCTTCCTCCTCTTCTGTGCTGGTGGCACTGGCCAGTCCTTCCTCTCGCACTGAACAATGCTCACCCAATGGTCTGTGAGTGCCACTCAGTCCAGGAATACTGCGAGTCTACAGAAAGTAGGTTGAATTATGCTGGCCAATATTCAATCCGAAAGACTGGCAAATTATTTACTGTAGGGTACAGCTCTGGATTGAATGTGAGTATTGCGGCAAACACTGCATTTTTACGGTTCCTGTGCACCTTATTAAAATCGTAGTTGGCAATGTTTAACCACTTGCTGACCAGGTGTTTACACCCCCTTCATGGCAAGGCCATTTTTCAGTATTCAGCGCTGCGGTACTTTGACTGACATTTATTCCGTCATGCAACGCTGTACTGAAATGAATTTTATACCATTTTTTTGGGACAGATAGTTTTCTTTTGGTGATATTTAATCACCACTGGGGTTTTTATTTTTTTATTATTAAAAGAAAAAAAGTACTGAAAATGTTTAAAACATTTTTTTTGCTGTTATATTAAGAAATATTACCTATTTTTTTGGTAAAATATAAAAGATGGGGTCACGTCAGTAAAAGACACCAAACATGTCAAGCCTTAAAATTGTGCGCACCCACAAAAATTGGCCATAGGTGAAGCTTTAAAGGCTTTTACCGCTCATCAGTTTAGTGTTAACAATGATTGATGGCCCCAGAATTATTACTTGCACTGCGATGTTCGCGGTAATATGCAATATGTGGCTCAATTGTTGTCTTTGCATGTAGATGCACCCGATGCGTGTTTGCGTTTGTATCTGTGTGTACGTTGGGGGCGGAGGGACTTAAAACATTTTTGTGACTAGTTTTTGAAAGGAGAACTATGGGGTCAGTGTTTTTCCCCATAGTTCCAAGGGTAACGGGAGGACACAAACTAGCGTCCTCCCGTTACCCTAAGCTCAGTATACCGCGAGCTGTAGCTGAGACGCCGCAGCCGGAGCGGATCCCGACTTAGACGACGGGATCCGCCCAGCTGCGTGAGTGACAGCTGGCTCTGCCTATCTAAAGGCAGAGCCAGCTGTACCTGCCCCCTCCCCTGTCCGTTCCGCCAGTCAGCGCTGGCAGATCGGAGAAGGGAATCCAGCCCCTCCCCCTGTCACAGCAGAGAGACGTGACAGAATCGAGAGGTGAGCGAACCCGGTATGTGTTCGCTTACCTCCCGATCTACTGTGCCGACCTGTGACAGTCTCATTGTCACAGGTCGGGTAGAACTATGAGGTGAGTGAAAAGCACTCACCTCATAGTTCTCCTTTAAACATTTTTGTTTATTTTACACTTAACTTTATTGCTATCACATAGGGGGCTAACAAGCCCCCTATGTGATGGAAAAGCGGATGCAACAGCTACTCTTTATGGAGACATCAGCGGTTGGTTAGATCGCTAATGCCACTTAGGGACCCCCAAAGAAGCTGATGAAGCAGCGATCCGTTTCACCAGCTTCTACTCAGGCTACAGCAGCTGGAGAAATGACAGTGACACCAGAAGTGGTGTAACACACATCACGTCCGGGTCCAGTGATCGGAGTGGAGATCAGCAGCCGGGAGTATGCCGATCGCCCTCTGCACCGATCTCAGCGCACAGACCCGCTTTGCCAGTAGCGAGCCTGCATGGAGGACAGCAGTGGTGGAAGGTGAAGGGCGCACACTCCCACCCAACATACAAGTAAACGGGGAGGCTCAACAGTCGCCCGAATGCTTGTATGTAAACAGCTGTAGCCAGTTTTAAAAACGCCCACCCGTATTCAAGAGTGAACCGTTTAGTTGTTTATTTACAGCGGCCTGACGAGAAGTGTTTAAAATAAATGTGATTGAAGTTTGACTGCTTAAAGCCTTATCAATACAAAAACTGAATATAAAAAGGAATACCCTTTTTTCTTCAGATATCAAATCCAAATGAATTTGACATCATGCTGAAAATTAAATTTGAGAGTTACCAAACAATTGAGTTGACAAGTATCGATGAGAGCGGTGCTTTCTACACACTAGCATTTAAAAAACGGAAACCAGCAGCCATGGATCCATACATCGATAATGAACAAAATATACTTGCTAAATATATCTTGGATGAATTCAGAACTCTGATCAATAATGTCCTTCAACAGTCAGGTATGTTACATTTACATTATCTGTACATTCATGGGCATAATGCATGAAAACATTTTTATAATCACGATAGATTAGCAGTACACTTGAAGTGAATCGCCAGGCAAAAATCTAAAGTTAGGAAAATTGGATTTTTGTATTTGCCCTAAGTTAGATTTCTTTAAAGGACACAGGATGAGGAGCCAACTGGGTTATATTACTGTATACAAGAGGATTTAAACATTTGGCAAGGAAAAAAAAACCCAGTGACCAGCTGGACACCTTCCAATGCCAGCATGCCTGTTTTGTAATAAAGCAATACTAAGAAGTACCATTAGCAAGATAACAGACACAGAGGCTTAGGACATGGGCATGCATCCCTCAGTGAACTCCAAGAATAGATTTTACAGTGAGCACATGAATCCAATTTCCTTGGTACACAGGATCTAGACACAAATAGAATGTCCAAAAACAGTTCAACAGAGGGGTGGGCAATGGCAACAAAACACTAACAGCTTCACATAAAACGAAGGACTAAAACTTGGGACTATCTTCCGTCTGGTGGTGTCCGGGTATAGTATGCAAAGGCTCAACTGAGGAGACAACCAGTCGGGATAGCTTCTGGTGGGTGCCGCAGTAGATGCAAGCAGCTTAGGCAGACTTGCTGGAACAGTCTTTAGCAGAGAAGTGCAGAAAAGAATGTGCTTCTGTCAGAGCAGAGAAAAGGAATCCATGACCTAAAGACACTAGGGAAAAAACGGTGGCATGCCAAGTCCAAAGCAGATGCGGCACTACTCGCTGCTGTAATTTGCATTTTTTTTGGGTGTTTTTGAGTGTCTCTGCTCTTTAAGCTCACAGCTCAAGTAAGCTTGAAAAAGAATGGAGAAACTCGAAACATCTGCATGAATAATCTTAAATTCACCAGGTAGCACTACAGGTAAATCTGGAGACTGTACTTGCCATATCATTAGAACTTGGGACCCATGTACTATAGCCCTATAGATAACCCACTAGATCGTATTTCCATTTGCCACTTGTATACTTTTTGGCCCTCCTCCTCAGCATTACTTGCAAGTTTATGTTTATTTTTATGACCACGTGACAGCATTCGACAAACAGGTCTGTCTTTACAACAGGTAAGCCAGCCTCCTTAGAGAAGAAAGACCCTTCAAGCCCTGCAGTCACGCTCACTATTCCTAATGAACCTGAAAATATATCCGTGGATCTGGTTCTTGCTCTTCAAATACGACAATGGCCCGAAAAAGCAAGTAATGGAATGAATATTGACAGCTGGCTTGGCACAAAAGAAAAACAAAAATACAGAAAAGAACCATGCTACATGGTAGCCAAACAAGCCAACCCGGGGAAGAAAGACAAAAAAGGTAAGATGTACGATTGCTTGTTTAAATGTTATGTCGTTATGGGTATTTTTTAAAGATGAACTTCAGGTGAACAGCTAAATACACAGTAGAAATACATGCAGACATTCCTCGGTTACAGACTTACCTGCTTTGCGACTACTCGCACTTACGACGGACCGCTAATTGACCTCCGACCTTGCACGTCAGGGCGACATGTCACAGGCGGAAGAGATGTCCTCCGATCTTCACTGCGGGTCCCGGTAAGTATTTTCATTGCCCGATGTACAGTACACTGTTCGGTACTGTACATATGCAATGCTATACAGTACTGTACTAATGCAGTACAGTACTGTATAGAGTTCCTCACTTAACAACCAATTCGTTTAACGACCTGGTCGTAGGAACGGAACTCGGTCGTTAAGTGAGGAATACCTGTAAATGAATTGTAATATCTAAATTGCCTTTAAACTTGCTGAAATAAGCTAACTTGCTATTCTCTGCTTCCAATGATAAGTACAATGGTTAAACAAAGCAATGGTCTTATTTATTAATACAGAAATATAAGAAACATAATAAAAGATAAAGATACAAAAGTACAAAAAGACAAATCAAGAAAATACTTTACGCATCAAGTCCATCCTCTGGTTCTAGGTCTTAGCTGGGCTCAGAGAGAGAGGGAGCAATATGGCTGAGCACTGACTTAATAGTAAACAGGACCCAATCATGCACGTACATCGACACCCCTTTACCCAGAATTCCGTATGTCCCTTACAGGTCTTTCGGCCAATCCGCATCTTCCTTCATATTTGTCTGCATGCACTGTAGCCTCCAGTGTAGCCTCGTACTGCAGGTCATTCCTTGGCCTAAGTCAACACCTTGTCCTTTGATCCTTAGATAATGGACAGCCACCTTCATATGCAATGAAGGATATCTTGAGGGTGTCTTCCCAATGCGCATATAAACTTCCTTGCCATGCATCCTGCGGGGATGAATACCCTGGTCTTCAGCACTTCTAAAATCACAGCTGGCTTCTTCGATGACCCGTGCAAATCTTTACCTTTGCTCATGTTTTCTGCTTTCAACACATCAATCGGATTTGAGCGACTGACAATAGCCAAATTGTGATGGTTAGCCGACTGGATCAGAGCAACTTCAAAACTGCAGCTCTCGTGTGATGTTTCCAGTCTGCAGTGGTTAGGACCTACCAAAGAGGTCCAAAAGAAGGAAAACCAGTGAACCCGCAACAGGGTCCTGGGTGGCCAAAGTGATGCACGTGGACTGCGCAGGCTCGCCCATGTAGTCCGATCCTCAACCCTATTTTTAATGTGTTATCCATGGAAATGCATACCCGCAATTAAATACATACATGCAATAGGTTGGACTTGATGGACTTATGTCTTTATTCAACCTCAAATACTATGTAACATTTTGTTTATTTGTACATAAGCTTAAAAGTCTGTACTGTTAATGATCTGTAACGCGGGATGGCATTCTGTCAGTTTAGACTGGCAGAATGCTTTCTTTTTGGGTCAAAGATCTACTTGTACCCATCCTCCTTTTTCACAGCGCAATTTACTATAAATTTTAGAGATGCGATTTGAAATGCATGTCCACTCTAAGGGCTGGCTCACACCATTGCAGTCTAGGTGCAATGTATGTTATTTTTTAGGTGAGTTGTACATGTGCTACTAATCTTTCTATGTGCGTGTTGGCGAAAACTGTATCAATAGATGCAAGTCAATGTTTTTTTTAACTCTCACCTAAAAACACACTGGTATGAACAAGGACCCCAGGCCATATTTTAGTTTTAGGTGGTTTCGTTAAGATTGATTCACTAAAGGTTTGGCATTGGCCAGGGTGGTTATTTATGGAAATTTTCCACAATGTTCTGGGGATCTGAGAAGCTCTTTACATAGCATTTGCGCAGTCTGTGAATGTGGAAAAACATCTTGTTGTAACAAAGCAGCTTCAACAAACTGGCATGTGCAGAAGACGCATCCCTCTGCTCATCATATTCTATATTTAGTCGAGCGGTTTTCTTAGGTACATGAAAATGAGCACATACCATAGCTCTCTCAATTGCAGTGTATGATATGCATGCTTGCCACAGCTCTCTCCCCATTGCAATGTACGATATCAGTATGCCAGAGACCTTCCATCTCACAGATCTAGCATCATTTGTTCCTGTTCTTGTAGATAACAGTTCTGTCTTTTTACAGATACATGGCGCATTTCCTTTTCAAATATTGAAAAAGATATATTGAGTCATCATGGAAGTGCAAAAACCTGCTGTGAGCGTCAAGGACCCATGTGCTGCAGGTTAGTGGTGAATATAGTTTTACAGACATTCACTAGAGATCATTAAGATAAGAGTAGTAAATTAAAGCAGAATTTGATAGCCTGTCTGACCACGTCTGCTGCATGTAGCCACACTCACTGTGACATCCATTGTGAATAAACATTCCAGACTTCACACATTCCTAAATGCACTGCTCCAGGAGAAGTGTACCGGACATTCCTTAAATTTTTGACAGTCCTATTGTCACTTTCTTGTTTACACGACATCAATTCAACTGCACTCCAGATATACTGAAAACCTGTCATGCAGGAAATATATGGGTGCCCTTGCTGGTCTCGCCCTAAAAGTTGTAATTGCCTGCCTATTATTGCTTGCCCACTGGCTTTAATACTTGTACAGTTTCTAACCCAGAACAAGTATGCAGAAAAAGAAATGTCAGACGTCCTTCGATGCATACTTATCCTGGGTCAGTGACCCATGCTGACCCTCTTGCTTCAGTAGTCAAAACAGCCAGGCAACTAGTGTTTTCCAAAGCAGAAGGCAGCCTCACAGTTAGTCTTCTTTTAAAGCTGGAAAACAATAACTAATTAAACTTATTAAAAAATAGAACTCCAAACATTAGAAAAAAAGTTAGGCCCCATGACTCCTCTGTTTATTAGCTGCCTTTAAAAATACCATAGTGGATGTACAGACTGCACTTAGTATGTCACTGCCTACTGACAATAGGGTCAATTCACAAAGAGAAACATTATTTGCTCTCGCTAGTTGTTAAATTACCTCTCATTTTTTGTTCAAAAACATGGTATTCACGAAAGTCCCAATCGTTATTTTGCATGCTCGTTAAGGCTTCTGGCTGAAGCGTTAGGGAGTTGTTATTTACGAACATATACATTCCACCTTTTACTATCATTTCTGTATTTCCTACTTAGTATGATAAAGAGCAACCTGCAGGCATTAACATAACAATGAACATCAAAACTACAGTAGCTCATCTACTCCTACAACATTCTCATCATCACAGCTACATTGACAAGCTATGCATTGAGGAGTGGCACATCACTTGAAGATAATGTAATACAAAATATCAGTTTGTCAGCTAATCACTTTTAAATCATGGTACAGTAAACTCCCCGTTATGCGGAACTCATGCAAATAGACAAAAAACAACATTGAGTCCATAATAGACGTGTGGTGGGAACAATAGCCAGCTTGCTATTGCAGTAGCGGGCTGGCTATTGCACCCGCCCACTGCTTGCTGTCAATCAGCAGTGGAGCGGACCTGACGAGAACTTTTTCTTTCAGGTGTCTTGATTGAGAGCAGGCAGTGGGTGATAGCATGCAGGCGGATTGACCACCCACTGCCCACTGTTTACATTCAGCTGCTGGCTGCGGAATCTAGCCGGCAGATGAATGGGGCTGTGGGAAAGGAAGCCGTGGGGGAAACTGACACCTATCCGGCATCTGCCAATATCCATGGGTGCAGGATAACAGGGAGATTACTGTTAAATCATAGTAAAGTCATTTTATAGATTTCATATCAAATAAGTCTGGGAGTGGTAGATTCTCTTGACATGACCTTGACTTTTACATACAGACTCATGCAAGAGATGAAGCAAAACGTAAACTCTGTTGAAGGCAGTTTAAAGTTATAAGATGGAGAAAAAAAAAAAGCACTAAAAAAAACCCAGGATATTTCTGCTCACCATAAAGATAATTTTTCTTGCAGTCCACTGTGGGACACAGGAAATCTTAAACCATCAGGTTATATCGTTGCCTACAGAAGGATTGGACACTAGCATACAAATTGTAGGCCAGCCCAGGATAACCCTCTTCTACTACCAGCCTGCCTCAGTTTTGTAGCAAAGCAGTACCGACAATAAGATCATGAACACACCCTCTGTGTTCATGATCTTATTGTCGGTACTGCTTTGCTACAAAACTGTCCCTCAATAGAAAAAAATAAATACATTTGAAAACTCAACACTTTACAGAGTATAAAAATCCTTTTTTCTTCCTCCTCCATTGAGGGACACAGCGAGTCTTAAACTTGCAGGACATCCAAAAGCAGTTCAACTGAAAGGTGGGCAAGCAGCTACAAATGCCAACAGGCCCAATGCAACCACAAGAACTAGCCTGCAGCTCAAAAATTCACCAAAAAGGAGCTTACACACAAAGCTGGCATCAGATGAGCCAGAAACATCCACTAGGAAAAACATGTGAATAGCATCAGATGAGTCAGAACAGGATGAAGAGTCCCGGGGGTAGCCTTCCAAAACTGGGACACGGTTGCCTGATGCTTCTGGGGAAAGAACACTGTGGCCCAAGATGCATCCAGGACCAAATGCGAAACTCCAAGCAATGGGTTGGTTCCAGTGACCATTTATGAAGGTTCTGGATCCATCTGGAACGCTGTAATGTTTGCACAGTCAGAGAAAATCCAGCAGAGCCCTTGCTGACTGCTCCCTCAGCAGGAGGTGGGAGAACACAACAGAGCTAAAACTGGGGCCAGCCCCTTGGAGAACACCGGAGGTGCAGCAAAAAGGCCTAAAAGTAGCCCACCAATTGTTAGTATAGTGTTCCGTGGCAGAGTGTAGAAATCGCTAATGTGGTGGAAAGATTGGCACATATAAGTAAGCATCTGTGATGTCTACAGAAGCCAGAAACTTTCTCTGGTGGAGGCAGGCAATGCCCCCTTTGGCTTGGGAACAGGTTGGCGTAAAACACCTGGAACTGTTCCATCAAAGACACTAGACACTTTTATACAGAAGATCTAAGAGGTCCCCAGGGAGATCTGCTAATCTATGTCGAGACTCAAGAATGTTGGCAGTAAGAAAACGAGGTGCCAGGGAACAAAACTCCAATTTGTAAGCCTGGGACACCAACTCCTGCACCCAAGCATTTGGAATACAAGCTGTCCCAACATCTGCAAAAGATCAACAGAAGCTCAGCCCCTCTGGAAAAAAAGGGTGCACCTTTATACAGAGGAAGGCTTGTCAGAGGATTTTGCAGACTGAGTGCTCAAATTTGTGGGGGATCGGGAATCAAACTTAGGGGGCCTCAACAAAGTCCATAAGAGTGCAGAAACAAGAAGCTGCTTCTTGACAGACAGCAAGCAAAATTACTTTGACGTCTGTTCCTTAAAGTGACATTAAACCCTCAGATTTTAACATAAAACAATAGTGTAATGTGTGCCTTACTGTAATCCATGGTAGTTTCCCTTTTCTTTGCTGCTCTTCCTTTTAAATCTGTATCTGTTCTCATGCTGGGCAGAACTTCTGTTTTGCAGCAGACTGCCTTGTCTCTGAAAGGGATACATGGTGTCTGTGTGTTGGTTTGCAACCTGAGCCAGCACTACAGGAAAAGGCACTCAGCTGCAAAAGGGAAGTTCTCCCCAAGCATGAGAAGACATGAGGATTTAAAAAGGAACAACAGCAAAGAGAAGGGAAACTACCATGGATTACAGTAAGGCGCACATTACAGTATTGTTTGTTAAAAAATCTGAGGGTTTAATGTCACTTTAAGCTTTTTCTGCTGTGAAAGATGGGTGCCCTTGCTGCCAGTTGCATCCTTTATAACTTTATCAAGGGATGGTCTGAAAAGATATCCCTCATAGGCCATGCGGATCAAAGCTTTCATGCACAAAAGGTCCCGCAGTCCAGCACCTTAGCCAAAGTGCCCTACATATATCCACCATCAGGAGGTATATGCAAGAGATAAGACAGGAGGATTCCATCAAACTGTCACAGCTGAAATGTAAAATTACAGCCATCTACTTTATGTCTTAAACAGGCAAGGGACCAACTGAGATTGTTCATATATCCTTTATGATATTTTGACCAGTTAGACAGTTAAAGCCTCAGCCAAGATCAGGTGCAGGGTGGTGCCTGCAAGCCAGAACTGAGCTCTAGAAGGGGCTTTCAACCACTTATTAGTTGGGTCCTCAAAGGCAGGTGCATCCTCCACCAGTGGTAATCGCCTTGTTAAAGGCACGATATGGCTGGATCATCCATGCAAATGGACCATTTATGAACAAAATCCACACAACACAGATAAAAAGCCACTAGGCATTTAGAGGGCAACTTCTCAGGATGCTTTCAATCTCCATAAGGAATTAGTTTGTTGCCTTAGAAGTCTTAAAGAATCTAAGACTTGAAACAGTACTGGCAGAAGCAACAGCATGATCCTCTATTTTTAGATTGGTGCACACTGTATTAATAAGAGCTGGAAAAGTTTCATTTAATTTGGGAGTAATAGCAGTAGATTGCAACCTCTCAAGGGCAAACTCATCAGTCAAGGATCTGAGTGACTCAGAGTATGTGAGTGAACGCAATGTATTGTAGAATACATAGTCTTACGTGCAAAGCAAACTGCATTTCAACAAGAGAAGATGCGTATAGGCAGAAAAAGGGCAGGACCACCTCCTGATTCCACTAAAAGTTGAGAGACCACAGAAATGCTGGGCCTGTCCTGAGAACAACTCTATTATCTAATAAATGCAAGTTTGATAGTGAGTGGTTTAATGCCTGAATTTGTGATGGGATCAAAAGGGGGTTCAGCAAGCCATTCTAGCAGTCTGTAGGTCCTATGGTGGCATCAGAACCCATGCCAACATGCCCCGCTCCTTTCCCACCCAAAATCTTCCCCTCCACCTAGGGCCACAGGACCAAGAGACTTGTAAAAGAGGCCACCTCAAGGGCAAGCTCATCAGTCAAGGATCTGAGTGACTCAGAGTATGAAGAGTAGAGTGAACGCAATGTATTGTAGAATACATAGTCTAACGTGCAAAGCAAACTGCATTTCAACAAGAGAAGATGCGTATAGGCAGAAAAAGGGCAGGACCACCTCCTGATTCCACTAAAAGTTGAGAGACCACAGAAATGCTGGGCCTGTCCTGAGAACAACTCTATTATCTAATAAATGCAAGTTTGATAGTGAGTGGTTTAATGCCTGAATTTGTGATGGGATCAAAAGGGGGTTCAGCAAGCCATTCTAGCAGTCTGTAGGTCCTATGGTGGCATCAGAACCCATGCCAACATGCCCCGCTCCTTTCCCACCCAAAATCTTCCCCTCCACCTAGGGCCACAGGACCAAGAGACTTGTAAAAGAGGCCTTCAGCTGCATGATTGGAGTAGGAGGAAGTTCTACCCTGGGCTGCCCTATAGATTTTTTTGGTACAATCCTTCTGTAGGCAGCAGTAACCTAAAAGGTTTAAGACATCCTGTGCCCCTCAATAGATGCAAATGAAAGATCTTGGCTGCTTTTCACATATTTTAGTCTTTTATGGCATGCTCTCACTGTGCAATTATCCTTCAGGAAACTGTGTCTTAAACTGATGAAGTATATACTGAAACAGCTTAAAAGTGAGAATCAAAGAAGAATGAACCAATTCTGTTCATACCATGCCAAGACTGCCCTACTACACACATGCACTCTTTACCCAAAAGATGAAGATTGGAAGCTGGAAGACCTGGATGTTTGTTTTAATAGATATGTTGAGTCCTTTCTGAATTGCCTTAGAACATATTCTCTTTCTAATTTTTTTATACCTTCCCATAATCTCTTCAGTTCAGATTACATTGATAAGTCAAGCTGTAAGTACCTTTTTGAAAAGTTAGAAAGTGAAAAAACTCAGAACTATCCAATTTTTTTAAGCATAATACAGCTGTCCGCAGGTACTTCTAGGCTGTCACAGGATGATGGAATAGCTCAGGTACATGATTAAACCCTGTTTCCAGCCATTTGGAAACGGGAGACACCCAGTAACAGGACGTCATAGAAACAATATTGGGTTGGGTAGTTCAGTGAAATTGTTTAATTTTTATGAATGAAGCTTTGTAGCGGCTGTGCAACTAGACTGCAGATTGGGGTGAGGGGAGAAGGGGCTATCATTATACACACACATGTACCAGGTAACTAAAACTTTTTATTGATGGCATATTCTTATACAACAGTGGAGAATACTGGTCTGGTCTTGAAATGTAACTTTTATCCTGTCAATAAACTTGCCATTCTAGATGAAGTTCTTCATTCATTAAAAATTGTTCACGTGGTTCTCTCACATAGTGGTATTCAAACATAACAAGTCTCAAAGGCTGCAAGAAAAATAAAGATATAGGTTAATTTACACATACATACACACATTTACTGCCTCAGTAGTGCAGCTTTCTCATAGGTAATACTCTCTTCTAAATGTGTTTAGCAGAACAAACCTACAGTATATGTAAATCTATCCTGCACAATGTAGGGGTTGCATTGTAATTTGTTCCTATTTAGTGCCTGATCATCTTGCTTTACTCAGATGCATGGAAGGCTAAAAAATAGGATTTTTTTTACTCACCGTAAAAATCCTTTTCTCTCCGTTCATTGAAGGACACAGGGAACAGATCGGAGATCATGTACTGTAGGGACGTCACAAAGCAGTACCTGAAGAGGGGTGGGCAGAAAAACAAACAAACAAATAAACCCAACAGAAAACAATTCCCTCAAACGGCCGCCTGCATTATCATGCGCCCCAAACCAGCATCCGCCAGTGCCAAAACAGCCACCTTATAAAACTTGGCAAAGGTGTGAACAGAAGACCAAGAAGCGGCCTTACAAACCCGAGGCACCATGACGGAAGGCCCAAGATGCCTCAGCAGCCCTTGTAGAATGGGCCTTAACAGAAAAAGGCTACCACCCCTTAATGGCATATGCCTGAGAAAACGCGTTGCGAATCCAGCGAGAGATGGCGGCCGAGGAAGCGACCAGACACTTCAAGGACCATCCGCAACAACATTAAGGAATCCAATTCACGGAAGGAAGCTGTAGCACCCAATTAAACCCGGATAGCGCAAACCACATCTATCCTTCCTATGAACGGGCTAGGAGGTTGTCGGCTGCCAGGCACGTTGTGCGGCCTGGGTAGATGGCAGCTTGTTGAACTTTTCACCCCACACCGAGGGCGGAGGGGGACAAATAAACCGCTCGGGAGCAGAGAAGGAAGGACCGGGCTTCTGCCGGTGGTCCCTGTTTTTTTAGCCTGAGGTAGAAAGGTACTCTCACCGCCCGCCAGATCCTCAATGATTTCATTCAGAGTTGCTCCGAACAAACAATCTTCGGTAAAAGGCAATTCCGTTAGGGCCCTTTGAGGCCTGATCTGCCGACCAGCAGTTAAGCTAGAGAAGTCGGCATAGTGTAACTGCGGACACCGACAGCATGGAAACCAAGGGAGCAGCACCCAGTGCCGAAATGCAAATGTATGTCAGGCCCTGCACCATTTGGTCTGCCAGACCATCGAAGAAACATTCTCCTTCATGAGGCACTGACGCAGCATCTTAGCCCCTTCCGTCAGGCTCCTGGAGACCAGAGCAGGAGGCCAAAAACCGGGCGTAGAAGTGCACCTGAAAAAAAAAAAGGAGGAGTAGATGATACGCGAGACAGCCTCTGCCTTCAGATCGGTAGGATCCCAAAAGGAAGGACATTCCACCACCGGGATAACCGTTGCCTTGTTCAGGTGGGAAACCCGTTGGGGGGAGGGGGGGGCGCACGACCACTTAGCCACAAAGGCCTCCTCAAAAGGGATAACGAACCGAAAAACATTTCGGAACCGAAAAAGGACTTAGCGGGATGCTTCCACCCCTATAGATTAAGTCATCAAAAAACCGGGATATAGGGAAAAACCACAGTGGAGCGCCCACTCCTACGCATTGCAAGCTGAACCCGCGGGAGCGCAGAGGAACCAGGGCCCTCCTCAAGCGTATCCCGGACTGGACGATCAGCACGGGTAACCAGTGCTCGGTCCTGAACCATGAGCGAGGCACCCGCCTCGGCTTCAATGCCCTAGTCCGGCAGCAGAAAATTTCACCCTCCTCCTCAGACTCCCCCGAAGGGACCGGGGAAGGTGACGGCAGGACACGCTTCTTAGGTGGCCTCTGCGTCAGAGCGCGTGCAGTGCGCGGCACAATTCACAGTGGACGAAAAATTGTTTAGGGATAAGGCAGTGCCCGCGGCACCGCTCCCCCCCCCGAGGGGGGCAAGCGAAACTGGGAAAAGGGGGGCAGGTATACCTGCAGTGCAGAGAGGGGAAGAGGGCAGACCACCACAGTACAACCTGCCCGGAGGCCGACACGTGCTCCAGCAACCCGCTCCAGACAGACCCGGCAGCCGTCCACCAATCTGCTCCCTGTGCAGCACCCCCTCTCAGCGCACTCACCAGTGAGAAAAGACTGCTGAGAAAAGAGAATGCTGAATATGCAGCAGCGGAAGACCGCAGCCGAAAGGGCACTACAGCCCTCAACAAAGATGGCCGCACGGCCTCCGGCAAGGTCACAACAGAAGTCGGGGGCCACAGCAGACATTGAAGCCAGCCCTGTGACAGCGCTCCCCCAGCAGCCTCCCAGGCCATCCCAAGCAGCAAGGCCACAAGTGTCCCTCAGTGAGGGAAAACAAGGGGGAAGGAGGAGGAAGAGGGGGAACAAAGGAGGCCCACAGACCCCGCCAGGAGTCCCCCCAAGGAACCCCTCAGTGACCTCACAGGGCACCACAACCAAACAGAAGGGCAGGCAGCCCCTAAATTTCTCCCGCACAGTCCATGCCCCACATACATACCACCATGTTGGGGAACGTGCACTGTCCTCGTACCGCAGCCACCGCAAGCACCCGAGACGTCAGGCCGAATCCACGCGGAGCCAAGAGGTAAGGACGAGTAGGGACAGCGTGTAGAACGCCCCCAACCGCAGTCGCGGCGTCGCCAGCCTGTACGGAGTGCTGTGACCGGTCGGCTGAGACCCCCGGTCATATACAATTCCATTGGGACAATCCCACAGGCCACTCCTTCGAGACAGAGTCGTCGCAGCCGACCCACCGTAGCAGAGTCTGCATGCACTCGCCGGTCGCACAGGGGAGACTACAAGGATCTACCATGTCCAGCTTGTCGCCCTGGCGGCACTTGCTAGAAGAATCAGCGAAAAAACAGGAAGAAGTCAGGTAAGAATACCCGAGAAAAATTCTTAGCTCCTTACTCCTGACGCTAGGCAAAAAACTGGAGACTTGTCAGCAGGTGGGGGGTTTGGCCACCAGCAGGGGCCGCCCCTAAGCTGTAATTGGTCTTTAGTTTTGTGCCTAGCGTCCTTCTCCTGCAGGTGGCGATATTACCCTACAGTACATGATCTCCTATCTGTTCCCTGTGTCCTTCAATGAACGGAAGATAAATTAACTATTCGGTTTCGAAACCAACTTTTGTTTTATATAGTAGCACTAAAAAACACTTTTTTAAATAAGATTTTTATTGATTTCATAAATATCAGCATAAATAAAAACAGCCATTTACATATATTACACATATACATATTTCCCTGTACACATACATACCCTTATACAAACACATGTATATTGGATATCTCATTATATCTCATATAGTTTTTATTTCTCACCTAATATGGCTGCACAACTTAATTACATTCCTTTATATGTTTATATACCCCCCTTCCCCCTAATAACTCCCCTACCCATCCTCCCCCTCCCTTTTTTGAGGTCTCTACAGCATGTACACATTACAACGAGCTTGAGAAAGGCCACAGTTTCGAATTGTTGAATGGAGATGGCTGTGTGCGAGTAAAACAGTTTTTTTGTCGTAAAATCGTTCTTGCTCATTGACTCATTAACTCAGTTGCCGTCCGCCCGTTGTAAAAAAAACAGGTGGACGGTACTGCTGCATTGGCGGGTTGCCGTCTCCAGACGGCATTTTTTTATCAGTTATTCAGAGACAAATGGCTTATACTGCCACCTTTAGGAGGATTTTGACACTGGCAAAAAACTTTAGCCTGCAAGGTGGTCCTTTAATGAACTCAACTGCAAGAAACTGATTTTTATGGTAAGTACATAAATCCAGCATGCTTTCTCATTCATTAAAGGGACACAGGATTCAGTAAAACACTTCTAAAAGCAGTCCAACTGAGGGGTGGGCTACAGTAACAGGCCCACATAACAAAACCATAAAACTGGGGGCATCCTGCAACTCAAGAGTGATGCCTGAAGGGCTTGGGACCTGAAGCTGGCTACAGATGAGGCCTGCACATTTTACCTAGTAAAACTTAAATCAGTAATGCTATGTTAAGGGTGGGTGAGTTTTTACCATAATGTGAAAGTACAAGTACTCAAAAGTGTGCCCTTCTCCAGCGCTGTCTGATTGATCTTCAGTCCCCTGCTGCCTCTTTTCATGTTCACAGGCATGCGCACAAGAGTTAATCCTCCCTGGCATCAGGACCATTTTTGGAATGTACATGTGTTTACACTACATGGTGTATTCACTGTACAGTGAAAACACAAAAAACAAATAAAATTGTTGGGGGAGAGAAGAAGAATTTGTTTGGGCACAAGAGACTTTGCATGTGAATTCTGACAAAAATCACTACCTCCCAGCATTTTTTAAAATTTTTGTTACTACTTCCACTTTTAAGAGCATGTGAATAAAAACACCAGGTGGCAGCCTCTTTAATCTGGGAAATGGTTGCCAGATGCCATGAGGCACTTGCAGACCTAACAGAATGCATGGTGGGAAAAAGGTAGAACCTTGTCCTTAAGACCATAAAGCTTAAACAATTATTTGTCTGAACCACCAAGAAATGGTGATGTGAGAAGCCGCTTCCCCTTTATCAGGAACATCGGGAATGACAAAAAGAGAACAAGTCTTTCTAATGGAAATGGTGGGTGAGAAGAAAACTTGCAAAGCATTAATTACATCCA